GTGTCAAGCTTTGAGGCTAACATGATTAGACATTGCACTAGGTTCTTTAGCCCGAGACTCGCAATGAAGCTAGTGACTGATCTGTTAAAGTCACTGAAAAATGCACGTTGGCAGTTTTAGATACTGGATGTGCACAGCTGTAAACATGTCGAAAATTTTTTCAACTTCGTAGCTTAGAAAACTGAAGAGACATAAACATTAGCCAATAAAATCAAACGACAACCGTTCAACAGTGTTGGTTTGCATTTTACTAGCAAACAGCTGTTGCCTCGCGAGCTGCATTGAAAAATGCTTTAAATCGGCGTGCTCCATGAAGAAATACTAAAAATGCTAACGCCACCACCGTGGTTAGTTTGTGTACATTGGCGGTCAACGCGTAAGACCTTAAATCCGTCGAGTTCCGCAACTGCATCTTCAACATCTTTGTAAGGCCAGGATAGTTGCGGCATATTGCTGTCCAAACGAGACAATTTCCGACATTTTGTATCAATTTTGTGGTCTAAGTTGCTGAGTAGCGATCGAACATTAGCACCGACTATAACAGGTCGGCTCATAGTTCCGATAAGTTACCTTATAAGCGCACCCCGCTATCTGCACGGTGCTTTTGTGTAGAATTCCTTTCTCCCTTTTTGATTCCCTTGGTTTCGTTTTTTGTAACTAGACCATTAAAAGGTGCGCAGTTCATTTGCGTGAAAGCGGGAGTGGCTAATGTTTGGAGATAAAAATAGCTTAAATGCGTCAGAGCGTTCGGTTACGTCAGCCAAACTATAGGCCTTCGCGTTAACGCCGAAGACATAGATTTATATGGTACACCGACTTCAAAAAGAAGCAATTTGCATTGAATGCGTTATGCATGCATTGTTTAAAAGGAACATAAAGCGAGGAATCTTATGTGCTTGTTGTGCTCTGTGTTGGGTGACAGTGCGGTGTTTTGTCATATGGTTGTTGAATGCTACAAAAGCGCATGGGAACTGGAGAACTGCGTGCAAAATTTTAAATTCGTCTATATCCTTCAGTTATGTTAAATATTCAGTGGTGACTTCGCAGCAGTAGGATAAACAGTATAGGGAGTAATTATCTGAGGGTTTTCCATACCAGTATGCTTAATTCCGCTGTTTGCATTCCAAACGGAATGCCTCCCGAGAAGGTCGTTACGTCATCTTTCACCCACTGCCTGTTGTCCTTAGTAGATTTCATGACAACCCGAGCTGGCACTAACCTTGACACGGTAACACAAATATATGGCTTGTCATACTAATGGAAGTTTTAGCTGAAATATTTTTGTAGTATTTGAATAAACCCTTGAAAAGAATTTGGACTGTTTTCACAATCGCTCTTACCCAAGGTAACTTGGATAAATTAAATTGGTCTTGTACTAAGCGTTTATGGGACGCTTTCCGGTAACGTTTTCGGTTATTCTGCGTATTATCCCGTTTTATTCTCAATTGTACCGGTTAGATGTTTGTCGTTTAACTGCGTAGATGTATTACTATGCTGAGTTCAATGACCGCAGTCTTCAAAACATCCCTGGCTTCGAGTTCCAAGTCTCGACGGATGGGAACTTTCAGCCTTGACAGACGAGACAACATGAGCTGCGGCATATTGTGATTTGCAAAGGTGATTCTCAGAGGTCGACATGACTGGTTAGTTTTCTGGGCAAGTCGGATTACTTGTTCACTCCTCACACTGTGTTCGCCCACATCCAAGATTCTATCGATGAGCCCCTGGAGGAACCCAACATCGTGATCTTAGCGTATCTGAGATTTCTCATCTTTTGACTCTGGTACGTGGAAGACCATGAGATTATGACACCTCAGTGAAATCGGTCATGAACCTGTGGAAGCAGAACTAGAGGTGCTTATCTGATTGGGTTTTTATTTGTCAGCAGAGGAAACCTGAACTCGATTACTTGGACCCTTGCGCTTTTGAGTGGTATATGGATCCTCGGTGTTCAGAAGTTCACAGACAGGCTCTGAGAAATGCACGGACCGATCAGTGAAGCGGCATTTCGTAGGTTCCGAGTTTGAGTCTTCCATCGGTGGAGAACATTGAACCTGAGGCTCGGCCAGGGTCGAAGATGCTGGTGGTGGTGCAGATAGCGGAGTGACAAGAGAAGGCGAGCTGACTTTCACGACGGCGTTTGACCCCATGTGGTAAACGGCTTGTTTCTGTCTGGAAGAGAGATTTTCCCGTAGTTGCTTGAGGTTGCTGTGTATTCTGATGTCTTGCACCGCGACATTTATCATATATAACTTGAAAAATCAGATGTCGAATGTCCAGAGTTTCGAAACACGTCAATGGATAAGCCAATGCACGAGATATGGAACAAAACATCGCAGCCGAAGCACCGAAGTGCATGAGTCTTATTTCCAACAACTTTCGAACATGAGCCACAAGTAGCTTGAGACGGTATCAGAAGGTAGAGCAAATCCAAGATGGGGGACAGAGATGGCAGTCGGGCAAATCAATGAGATATCCGGAATTAACCAAAGAATAGCCACCAAATTTGCACCGATTGGTGCACAATTCACGCAGAAAAAACACTGATAACAGTAATCTGAAGCAAAAGTAGTATCCAGCACACGGTTGCAAAACAGGTGCGCAGACCACTCGGCCACCGGCCGATAAGGACATAACTGATGGGTTCAGTTAACGAATGCGTAGCTGGCTATCGTAACCTGGTCAGTCTGAACAGCGCCGGTGGACGACTGAAGTTGGAAAGCGAACACCGAACTATCATCTTTGGTATCAAAAACATCAAGAACAATAGAAGCTCTAAACGTTAACGCCTCGCAATGAGGATCAGCCAAATAGTGTGCAAGCATATAGTGTCACGCGAATGAATTCAGACTCTCGGAAGTGTAGTGGTAGTTATCCACTAATTAGTACAGTTTCTCACGATGACCAGCCTTATTTGTTATAAAAGCCATGAGAATTATTTATCACTTCACTTAGTCTGAAAAAGCACTTGGGTAAAATAGGTCAGTGGAGGATTACGGTGTTGTTCACTTACACATCACTGCATCACGAATGGTCTCGTCATTGTTTGGATTCAGTTAGGCGATTGTCTGAACTGGGAGTGGAGCTCGATGCAGTGGTGAACGGATAAGCCATGTTTACCGAACCACTGAGCTCCAAGAATAGCGTTTGACTCAGCGGTTAGAAGTTGATTGTTGGGTTTTGCAGCACCAGCTGTGTCTGTGTTGAGCGCCACTTCTACCTCAAGCCATCTCTAGCTGATGAGTCCAAACATCTGAAAGCAACATGGAGTGCAGTGATGGAAAGAAAAAAGCAGAAACCCTTCGCTACAGATACAGTACAAGTGACTTGAATGGAAGATGTCTTATGATTGATCCCATAGCATTCATTCGGGTCTTGTGATCTCTTAACTCTGTTTCCATGGATGATGTTTTACTGGATATCTCAATTGCTAGGTCTAGCTTTTGGGCCGGTCTTGTCTGCGGTGTTTTCACGGTTACGGGTAGGGTTTGTGTCTTTTGTCTTGCAGCTGATTTCGTCTTAGAAGCTGAAACTTTTGCAGTCATTGTGGCTTGCGCCAATTCCAAAAAGGGATTAGATAGAAAAAGAGAGTTCAAGATTGTAGATGTCTCACTTATCTACGTTTCCCCTACCGATATATATGACCACAGTCAGCAAATGGGCAGAGAAGTACGAATGACCGCAGTTGGTGCTGATATGGTGTGAAGGTTACACTATTGATGTGTACGCTAAAATAAGGGTAGCAAGAGGACAGAGATACTGAAGGCACCGTGTATGGCTTCGCGTCACTGTTCGCTGCGTGGCGATCGGCATTGGTTTGAGGTCAGATGTTTGCATCCGTCGCAGGATCCCAAGAGTCCTTGTGGGGCAAGAAGAAGAATAAATTCGTCATTGGATTGAAGCGCGGAGGACTTGGAATTTGCGAAAGCAGAGTTTTCTGATGATCCGCGAATGAGAGATCCAAAAGATGAGCAGTAATAGGAGATTGCGAAGCCAAATCGGATGATAGTACGTAGGTCCCTGTGAGAATAAATCCGACGATTTAACAGTGAGTAACACAGGAAGAAGCTCTTTTTGCAACCGCTTGGTAGACACGCGAATTCACTGTGTTAACTAGTTCTGTCATTCAAAGAAACCAGGAAGGACGACATCGTTCGTCGCCCTGATCCTCTGGCTAGGGAGACAGCCATCTTTCGTTCAGGCCGGTTGACAGTAATTTAATGCCCGCAGCTGAAACCGATGCTTAATCCTAAAATATCTCTTCAACCCTGATCTCCTGATGAACAGCTGTCCAAAGCCAAATCGATAGGAGGCTCAGCGGACCGTGACCTCAGTTGTTATGACTACGGTGGCCAAGTATTGGAGCACTGGCGACGTGACGTGTGCTCCCCACATCTGCACAACAATGTGATACATACTCAGACAGAGAACGACAGACCGACTACTCGACCTCACTTATCATCCCCTTTTTACTTCTTTATTCGGCCAAGGTAACTTCGGAACATTCAGGTGTAACAGAAGCAAAAGGACCCCGAGTTGGCAACCTCATATGGAGCATTACCACGTTCTAAATGCAAAGAAAATCGCAAATGGATGCGGAAGATCAGAAAGTCTGCTCCTGGTCTGAGAACAAACATGTTTGTAGTAAGGAAGCAATTTGGAATCGGGATACGTCAAGTGACCCAGTGAAACAAACATAGATAGACTTAACTTTAATGAGGCAAGCAAATTTAGTGCGGACCAACGGGTAGTGAGACTGTATAGTTTGAGTTGTGATCATCGCCTTTCGTTCACAGCTGTCGCAGATTTTCGCGGGAGATATTTAAGACATCCACGTCACTTTTGCATTAAGATTGCCTAGAACTGTGAAGAGCTTTTCATTTATCACGTTTACACTAACATCGAGCCCCACAAAGAGACCGCATTGTTATTAATGTCCAGAAACAAACATTATCAGCAAGCACAAATGCCAACATTCCACAAGAAAAATTATGGTCGATAGCGTTCTAAAGAACGAAAACCAGTCTCCGACCATTGTAATAGAAGTCATGAAACACCGATTGCTGGAATTCTAAATGGAGATGTCGATGAGACGAAATTTAAATGTACAAAACACGCGAGATTCGGAAAAAGTAATTTGTTGAGAAAAATGTGTGTTATAAAAGATGACATCACCGTGCCAGTGGGTAGTTTAATGATGGGAAAGACATTAATAAGAAAGTAGTGTGCTTCGACAAGTTACAGCTTCGTGGTGAATCGTTCCAAGACAAAATTATTCCGAAACTGTAGCAGTAAAGTTCTGGTTCCATGTCAGCACACCATAGAGGTGCAACAGCCTTTAACCGCATCCCTGCGAAATGAAAATGGAGTGTAGCATAACATAAATGTCGTCAAAATAAGCTTAAAATAAGAGAATATTAAACCTCAGTGCAATGAACGCATGTACTGGGGAAACAACGCAGGTGTGCTATGGGTTTATGCGGCAAAAGAGTTCGAATTCGGTAACATCCAAAGTTAATCAAATCATCAAGTTACAGCAAAGATGAGGGAGCGCTAATAGTTAGTAATTAAAAACAGAAGTTGGAAGCAACGTTTACCGACCAAGCGGGGTATCCAAAACGCCACAGTAGAAAGCGCAACCAATAGACTGAATCAAACAAAGAAAACGACCCTAGATACCATACCACTAAATATGCAGGTTGGAAACACAAACACAACTGCGCATGCTGAAACATGAAATCCCTTCATAATTTCACATAAGATCAGAAGAAAAAGACGGTGGGATGACACGGGCATTTCGCAAATTTTGGTCGGTCACATATGCCAATAACAAAGGAACCGAGATAAGGTAACATGAAGTCAGTCGATGGCATCCTGATTGCTGCGTTGCTCGCTACTACGGCAGGGATAATATCACTGTCAGCTTTTTCTTAGCACAGTGGTGGACGCTGTCGATCAATAACAGCGGCCTCGATGAGCTCGAGAATGTGAGGCCCTTGACTGCGCATGAAACATCCGGGTTTTCCTGGTGACCGGTGCTCATCAGATGCCTCGTAATCGCTGAGACAACCTTGCTTCTCGATTCACCTGATGCACCCGTCGCGTGTTCCATTCCTTTATGGGGTCATTTTAGAATGTGTTCATTGAGTTAAACATCCAGATGTCGATCAGTACGCCTGTCATAGTTATCTCCATAGCTACATGTGAATTTGTATACGTAATGGTACCGCACTACTTTGACACCGGTCTCTTCACCGAACATTTAAGCAGTGGTCTTGTAGACTTACTCAAGCGAAGCTCTGTTGCGTTGTAGGTCTTTTTCGTTGAGGCTCTTATTCATTTTGTGGTAACCTTCATGCGGTGGTCACATCTGAAGGGCACCTCCATGAAAATCAGTTTCTTTTGAACTGTTATCACTTGATCTCGTTTCATGGTAACACTAAAACGCTTTATGAAATGCAATGGATAACCATTTGATTGTAGTAGGTCAGACAGCATTTCTTTATCTGTTTCCAGTGTATCTGTGGTGCAAATCATACCAGTTAAATGGAACAAACTTCGAACTAAGAAGCGTTTCTCTTATATCGGTGAGAAACTCTTATAATGCAAGTACTGACTCGTGTAAATCTCTTTTCGGTAGACTGAACTTTTGATTGCACCATCTGGCCGTCATGTGAGCAAAATACCTAGGTACGAGAGACAATTTTCTTGCTGTTTCGCTTGTCCTTGTAAAATTATGGTGCACATAAATGAACACTTTGGTTGCAAGCGCAATGTCCTCATCCGAATCCATGACCAACAGTATGTCGTTATAATTGCGTTTGTATACAGTGGCTGATCTGATAAAGTTGTCTACTTACTCTTCAATCATATCCATGAATACGTCCGTCAACAGGGAGCCCAAACGGTTGCCCATAGCCAGTCATACCATCGATCTGTCGATGTTTTTTTTCGGAAACAAAACTTGACATCATTTGTGTGCAACGAGATTGGACCATAGCGTAGTGCGATTGTTTGCGTACCCCATGACCCATTGAGCCACACTGGGTGGCACTTTCCAAATGCGTTCAGAGCCACTTATACCAGACAAGCCAATGGTTATGGGTCAGACAAACTCAGTCTCATAATCCAATCCTCTTCGGAAACTAAGGAGAGGTCGATGGACCTGTTCCTTTAACATCTAGCCATGTGAGACAACAGGTCTACGGGTAATAAGCTTACAGCTAGATCGGCGTAGAACACGAGCACCACGCGTCGTTTCTGACGGTGGGAGGGCACCTTCCGGTGCCCAATGGTTTGTTACCGCCTGCCTCAAGCCAGGCAGCCCATGGTCAAATTGGGGCAAATCCGCCAAAGCACACCTGCGACCGGCCGTGGTTGCAAAACACTTGTGCACTGCTCTAAACCTTCAGAGATTGTGTGTGACAGGCCTCAAGCAGATTCAAATGGGTCTCCGCAATCACACTTCGGAGCTGGACTTGTTCCCCACTGTCTTGTGCGTCAGGCTTTTGAGCCAACGACTCCGGGTGGAGTCCCACGAGCGAACCTCCATGTACCCCACTGCCTTGTTGGTCAGACTGCTGAGGCAGGGTACCTCGAACAAAACCCTCCTCTCGGAATGGGCAGCCGGAGAGCATCATCAGTTCTCCAGACCATGGTGGTGAAACGTTTGCGACGAAACCGCCAAGCTCGGAAAACAAACAAACAATTGATTCATCAACCCGAGCTATCAGTATTTCGAAACCTTTTAAATCATCCACAGAAACAGATCCCCTAAATTTAAAGAGGGTATGAGGAAGTCCATTTGTTCCTGCGACCTTTATTCAATTGCAACAGTCCGATCTAGCGTTCGACTTCTGCGCATGTGGGTGTATCCAAGGAAACGGCCTAAGGAGAAAAGCGATCAATGTTCGAGAAGGAAGCTGGTAACTCGCTGAATAAACTGCTCCTGAAAATGTGCGGCCCTACACTTCATGCGTTTTGACAAATTGTGGAATGACTGTCCATGCCCGCAGCATTTGGTCTCGTTAAGTTTAGGTCTCTTGTTGCCTGGCTCGCGTATAAGGCGGAACAACCTACGACGGTTAGCAAAAACAACTGCTTTCTCTCTGATATACAATGAGATCACCAGTCCTCGCAGTAACCTGATGTCTCCCCGAGAGCACCTAGCGTCTGTTCACGTCGGACTTCAACAGATATGTAGGTCAAACTGAAGCAAACTGAAGCAAATATCCGGCTGAATCCCGAATCTTGATATCGTCAGCAAACAGATGGAAACATGAAGCAATTACCTACGCAAGGTTAATAATAAATTTCATGCAGGATTTTCCCTTCACAAATTTCAAAATAGCAAGAAAAAAACATTTTAACAGGATACGCTGAATTCAGGTATTTCGGGTGTTCTCGTCAGCTGTTTAAACACATTGGTGAAATTATCGCGTTGCGTACAAAAGGGGAAGCAATGTACAAGGTCATTCAGTTCAAAAGAAAATGATCAATAACCTCACCAAGGTAGGGTTGCTTGCACAAATTGGGCTTAAGCTGCCGAATAGCTGAGGCTTCGGCAAACTGAAGCAATCGGGCATTGTTCTGTAGGTTAATTACTCTAAATCAATCACGAGGACGTTGGCACATTGTGCAATCTAGGACGTGTTGAGCACTAGAGCTAGCCGGCAGGTTGGGAACGTTAGCGACCATATTTCGTGGAATGTGCTCTGAAATCCTAGTGATAAATAGTAAAAGCAATCGTCGCTCCAAAAATAGCCCTGAGGCTTACAACACGACTTGTTTGCGGTCAGATAAGGAGGTCCGAATTCTGAAGGAGAAAGTTGGCGATCCAACTCAAGAGAGGATCACCGATGCCGTACTAATGGATCATGGAAAGGAGAATCAGGTGATCTAGACCAGGGGTCACCAACGTTTTTAACGGCAGGCAGGATCAGTGGAAAAATTGTATGGTGCGGGCCGGATTACGGGAAATACTACCAACGCGGGTCGGATAACCAACACAGTGGTTAGCGTGGGCCACATGATCATTATGCACAATAATTGAGAGCCAGAGCGAAAACTGTGGCAAAATACAACGAAATTCAGTGTCCATTTTAGTAGAAGCTGAAATAAGTGGGATCGGAAGAAGGAAATAATATTGAATTACAAACGTAATAGAAAAGCAATTGAAACATAGAAAAAGCTGAGGAGCAGGAGACATTGCTGGAATATGCATTAAGTAACAGCAAAACATATAAACCGCAACAATTAGCGCTTCCGGCGCAATCCATCCTATCAAACTGCAAATCGTTCTAATTATGGCTCAAAAATAACACATGCATACACTAACGGCGGTTTATGACGCTTCTTTCAGATGAGCCGACCAATCCAAAAATTATGGCACAAAGGCGTGAGGTTAAACAGAAAAACGGTAGGGTGCACGAATGATTGGGTTTCATGTGTGATCACTTACAGCAACGTTCCAGCGATGTGGGGTCACTAATGTTACGGTAATACGGCGTCACATGTAATGATCCTGAGATGGCTCGAGCCAGTGTACAGTGTCACTGACATTATGACATGCAGTGTCTAGCGTAAATTGTATCACAGCTCGTGTTCCTTAGATACATAAAGCTAACCCGGGTACAGTCTTTGGACCGGATTCGGTCCGCGGGCCGTAATTTGGTGATCCTTGATTTAGACGATCAAATGCCTTAGAAAAAAGCAGGTAGATCACATCAACGTCTTATCCTGTGTCCACTGACTCGGTACAGCTACTCCGTGCTATCAGCAAATAAGTTGTGCAAGATCGCTGTCAATGGAAACCGTGTTATTCAGTAGCAATAATGTCGCGATTTTCCAGATAACAAGGCAACGCATCGGACGTTCAGATCAGTCGCTTTTGCCATTTTGAGGATCAGTAACATGCTACACATCCTTGTGCTTACATTCATTCTACTCGGAAGTATCAGCGCTGCGAAGTGGGTAGTTCCGGGATTATTATTATTATCATCGCTTCAACGTCCGAATTAGGTCTGCGTTTGCGACGGAGTTGTCGCTTCTATCCACGCGAGAAATACCTCGGTTTTCAAGTACTTCTAGGATTATTTTACATTTGTTCGAAAGCGCTTTCTGAAGAAGATTTAGTTAACCGGAAATCGTTTTTCTTCAATACCATTTGCTATCGCTGTCTTGCAACTTTCGCCCAGTGTTCGATCGGAATTGATCGGTAGTCCAGTCACCCGCAATTCTTTATGACCTTACCAGACAGTGCGCCTGCAAAACCATCACATGAACCGCGCAGCCACGCCGACTGCTCATTATACCTTCGTAACGCTGGCCTGACCGATGTGTGTCGTTATC